AGTAACCGGCTGGGGACCAAGCGCTGCGGTAGTAGCGGGGGTGGGGGCACTGGAGGGCACGGTGGGGGAGGACAGCTGAAGGTTTGCGGTGGTGATAGCAATCGAGGAAAAGCAAAACACCTGCTTCTGGGTTGACTCATCCAGGCTGGGGGAATAATTTAATGTGGAATGTAGTTTAAAAAAAAAAAGTGAATTGTGTGCTGTAGCCCTTTCTTCCCCCGGCAGCTAGGAAATTGCTTGTCCGTCCGAAAGAAAGCTGTTTTCCTTAGAGGACTGTGATGAGCATCAGATGAGATAATATACATGAAAGGGTAAAGAGCTATAAAAATGCAAGATATGATTTTATTTCAAATCCTTCAACCTATTTATGTGTGAGTGTATAAGATGTATTCCAGGTGTGGAACAGCAGAATAATACCAGACTTGGGATTATGGGATGTGCCCAGTAATGCAAAGGGTGTGTAAAGATACTTTAGGGGTGCTCAGTAATACTGTAATCTCTAGAAACAGTCTCTTAGGTTTATCTTATCTGGTTAGTGGGTTATTCAGCTCCCTTGCTTCTCTCCTCTCCCACTTATCTTTTGAACATTTTTCAGCCAAAGATTTTTACCCAAAAACGTGCCTGAAGAGGAAGGAAGGCACCAGTCGCTTTTTGGATATATGGGTTAAATTTGATTGAGAGGGAGGTTGATGTGATTGTATGCGTAATTTCTTCAATTTGTCTTGCCCTCAGCATGAAATAGCATGTTGTACAAAGAGCTCTGGGCTGAGGGACACCCAGGAAAGATCTCGTTGTGGATCTGACCTTTCAGGGAGGGGTCACCCTGGCCAAGTTCCAATGCCTCTCTGAGCCTTAGTTTCTGTCCGATGGGAAAAGACCTTAAAGGTCATTCATGCATTTATCCAGACCTTGCATACCTGCCGCAGGGCTACCCAACCCCTAGATACAGCGAACTTGTCACGTCCCCAAATGGCTGAGCTACCCAGTCTCTAGACAACCCTGTTGGAAAATTCTTTATGTTGAATTGACATCTGTTTCTCTACAATTTGCACTCATTGGAGCCATACAGAATAAAATATCTAATGCTGCTTCCACAAATATTTGAGGACTGCTAACACATTTCCCTTCTTCCACTCACTCCACAAGGGTTCTTTTCTTCCAACTAAACATGCCCGGTTATTTTAAACAGGGAGGCAGTGTGGGGTAGTGGAAAGAACGCCAGCTTTGGAGCTAGATGCATCTGCGCTCAGTTTCCAGTCCCTTCACATACTAACAGTGCTCTGAGCTGCTGTATCTTTCTCTGAAAAATATGGATGAAAGTACTCATCTAGCGAGTTATTATGAGAATTAGGGATAAATTGGGTGAAGATCCATGGTACAGTAGGAGCTTAAAATATGACAGCTGTTACACCTTCAGTGACATAATTTGCAATGCATTTTAGTCGGTCTTCTCTGAACAAATTCCTGTTTATGTGTCTCTTAATATCTGCTCTGCAGAACAAAATAAAACACTTTCTCACTAGCAGAATAGAGTAGGATTAGCTTATTCTGGGTGCTTCTGTAATTACAGTCTACAGTGTACAGTGGTTTCTTTGGAGCCATATCACATTGACTCACTGACAACTAAAATCCTGACTCGCTTTATGTGCTGCTGTTCAATCAAGTTTCCCCCATCTTGAACTTCTTTAGCTTATTTGAATCGATAATTATGGCTCTTGCAAGTGGCAGTCTCAGTTCTGTCCTGTTGTCTCCATAAATATCCTTGTTGTCATATTATGGGTCTCAAACTTGGGTTCAACAAAAAATGATTATTGAACCCACAGTACCAGCCCTGCTGATCTCACCACTGTTGCACATCAGCAAGCTAATAAATGCTGAGCTTTCTACCCTCATCTTTGCACAAATCTGAGGTCTTTTTATGTGGGACTGTCTGAGAATTGGAATGTGACAGGAATGTATGATAAGCTACGGGTTGAGGGAATGCTGCTGCCTGTGATGTCGGTCAAGTGTGGTGTTTGTATCCAGGAAATGAAAGGGTGCACTGAGAACCAGCCAGAGGCAGGCTTTGGATTTATGTACGGCTACATGTTTTCTCAGGCACTCCAAGTGTTTTATACCTTGGGCCAGATTCTCCCCTGGTGGAGGAAGCTTCTCTCTGTAAGTCAGTCACAGTTAAAAAACTCATTAACTGTTTGGCTTCTGGGGCATTCTCTAGCATTCTCTCCCGGCTTTAGCCAAGCTGATCTCTTAGTATCCTCTGCGTTTTCCAGTCTCCTTGCCTCTGTGCTGGGAGGTTCTTCCAAACAGGAATGCTTCCTTCGCCTAAATGAGTTACGGGTTTGAAGTCCTTCTCAGCCTTGAGCCCTCCTTTTCCAAGGAGGTTTTTCCTAGCACTCTGTCCGGGAGGGTTTGTCTTGAGCATCAGACTTAGAATTCCCGTTGTCTTCAAGTGCTTCCCTTGGTCCCCTCTGCTGCCCCCCACCCCCCAGCAGTCTCCCCTCCTGTCTACCTACTTGTTCCATGTGGGTGGACATGTTCCATGGCTTTCAGAATAAGATCCTTTGTGAGCACTCAGTCCATTAAATACAAAATTGCCTTCATCTTGGATGCTGGTGCTTCTGGTATGGTGAGAATGAAAGTGCGGAATTGTTTGTAGGACTCATAAGGTTCCATTGACAGTAAATACGAAAAACTATAATGCCAAGTTTGTTATATATTGTTGTCTTAGTTAAAATAGGAAAGTCTTTATTCTGTTGAAAGGACCGATTTAAATTTTGCTGAGTAATTATTTCAGTCCTTAAAAGGTGGTGGTTCGTTAAAATAGGTAATCTTCCACTTGTTAAGGGGAGTAATTTAAATTTCATTAAGTAACCAATTAAGGCCACAGAGGGTTTAAATCCATCGGTGGCTCCTCATTTTCTTCGGGACAAATTGTAAACTCCTTAGGGTGAAATACTCTTTCTAGCCTAATTTTTTGTCTACCAGCGCCACGGCCCAAAGGACTTGGAGTTTTCCCCAAAGGTTGTGCGGTCCTGCGCCTCCAGTGCTTTGCAAATGCCGTCCCCTCCGGTTGGAATGCTCTTTGTCTCTGGTAAATGTCTATTCATCATTCAAGACAACCCTTTCCCCCCTCCCCTTAATTACTTCCTCCCCTGTGCGCCCTCAAATTCTTGTACTTATTCATGCAGTATTTATTAGGAGTCTGCTTTGTGGCCAGCGTCGTGGCAGGTTCTGGGGATACAAAAGGTGAATAATACTTGGGCTCGGGCTTTGAGGGGCTTGCATGTTAGGGGGAGGGGGCCAACCTGTCACAAAACGCTGATAGGAAATTAAAGGGAAAATTTAAGCACCGTCAGTTCTTGTGTGTCATCCTCACTGGATGGACAGCAGCTCGCTTTGGGGGAAGGGGCCATTCCTCCTTCGTCTTTGCACCCCTGGCTCTTAGCGCTCTGGAGGTGCTAAATTAAGCATTGGTTTCCTGAACCTCGGAATCGACACCAGTAGAGGGGTACCCTGGGCTGCGCCACACGTTTTGGTGACACGCTTATAGATGGCGGTTTCTCCTATGTCTGACTGGTGGCCCTCAGCTCCCTGGCACACTGTGAGGTGCCGGGTGGATTCGGCTGGCCCGGCCTTTCGCCCAGATGTTCGGAATCTTGTTCGCCCGCGCTCTGGGCAGCTGAGTGGCGGGGCGGCCTGGGCGGGCGCGAGTGGAAGAGAGGCCTGCAGCGCCCCCGCTGGAGGGAGCCGGCACCGCTCGGGCCGCCTGGCTCGCTTGCAGCCCACGCGTTCGTCAGGAATTCAATTTACAGCCAGAAAACGAACAGACACTGATTCTCTACACTTTTCTCTTCAAAGGCGTGATAGATGTCTTTTAAAGGATTGTGGATGAAGAAAAAAATCCTTCCCTCTTTTCCGTACCACTGGGGCCCTCGCATTGTGATTCTTAAATCTTAAATAAATGCATAAACAAAGGGAGCTTTAGTCTCATAATTCGGCAGATCATTCTTTCTTTAGGACGGGCTAGTGCCGGGAGTGGGTGCTGCGGAAGGGCTGCGGCGGGCCTCCGGCACGCCAACCACGTCGCACTGCCGCAGAGGAAACGTGCCCGGCGCCGCGGCGGTGGCTGACCGAGAAAGCCCAGACTTGCCGCAAGTTTTGCTCCGTTTTTTGCTCTCGAGCGGCCGTCCCTTGAATCAGCCGACTAGCTCTGCGGTAGCCCAGCCGAGCTTGTCGTTCCCTAGCCACTCTGTTGTGCCCTTGGTGGGTACCTGTAGTTAGGGACCTAGGAGGTGTTGGGCATTCAGGGACCGCTGCTTTGGCCCGGGCACTCGAGCGGTTAAGAGCCCCCGCCTCAGCGCGGATCGCGAGTGGGGTGTGAGCCGGCGCCACAGCAGAAGCCCTGGTCCCACTGCATCTGAGGTCGAGTGGCCACCTCTGGGGCTGGGGGGGGGCCTATGGGTGGTCTCGGGGGAGGTGATGGAGTCTCAGGAAGTCTGTTGTCTCTTCCTGTAGTGTTAACTCGCCAGAGGAGGATTTTTGCTATAGAACCTGTGGTTCAGGGTAGGGGGCCGTGAGGGAGCAGCGGGGTGCTGGTGGGGGTCAATACCCCTGAAGGTGCCCTCCGGAGCAGCTGCTGTAGGAGGGGCGCCCCATCCTTGCGCCCTCAGCGGGGCTGCAGGGAAGGGGGTGGCTTCGGCGGGAGGGGCACTGCGGCGCGGTGGGCGGGCCAGGGGCGGGGGGCGGGTGGGCTCTAAAAGTCGGTGCCCACTCGCTCTGCGCTGCCGCGGCCACCAGCACATCCCGGCGCATCACGGCGGGCGGCGCCTCCTCTGCGGCAACCGCGCCTTGCGCATTGCCGCAGCGCACGACCCGGTGGCCGCTCGCTGCTTGCCGCGGCCGCGCCACCCTCGCGGGCTGTGGGCTGCGCCCGGCTGCCGGCCGACCCTGCACTGCTGCGGGCGCTGCGGCGCGCCCTTTGCTCAGGGCCGGTGTGCAGGCGGCATGGGATAAGACGCCACCATGGTGCGCCGAGATCGCCTCCGCAGGTGGGTGCGTGGTGGGAGCGGGGGTGGGGGGAGCGTGTGTGACTGGCTTGCAGCCGTCGTCGCCAAATGGGGTGCGGGCCAGCGGGTGGGACTTTGTCCGTCCGAGCTGGGGCTGCCAGAGCGCGACTCCCGCAGTGGAGGGAAAATCTCCGGAGGGTGAGGGGCATGCATTCCCGTCCTCTGAGCCCGTTCTACCTGCTTGGAAGAGGATGTCTCGCACACAGTAGAATGTTCAGAACGCCTGATCTCCCTGATTTAGGATTTCTAGTCCCTGGTATCTCTCTGATGCAATTTAGAATTTCTAGACCCTGGAGTCACCCTGTGCGGTTTAGAATTTCTAGACCCTGGTAGCGCCCTGGAGTGACTTAGGATTTTTAGACCCTGGTATTACTCTGATATGGTTTACAATTTTTTTAGACCTCGGCATCACCCTGGCATTATTGAGGATTTTTAGACCCCGGCATCGCCTTGGTGCGATTGACGGTTTTTAGATCCTGGTGTCACCCTTGCGCGATTGAGGATTTTTAGATCCCAGTACCCCCTAGGTGTGAATTAGTGTTTCTAGACCCGGGTTTCACTTGGACGCGATTTAAGATTTTTAGACCCCGGTAACGCCTTGGCGCGATTAGGGTTTTTATACCCCGGTAACGCCTTGGTGCGATTAGGGTTTTTATACCCCAGCATCGCCTTGGTGCGGTTTAGGGTTTCTAGATCTGGGCTTTGCCTTGGCGTGAATTAGGATTTTAACATCCGAATACCACCCCGACACGATTTAGGGTTTCTAAACCCTAGATCGCGCATCGCCCTGGCGCGATTTAGAATTTCGAGGCCCCGGTATTGTCCTGCGGTGATTTAGGATTTGAAGACCCTGGTGTCGCCGTGGCGTGAGTTACCGCATAGGTGTGACTAGAACTGGCAGTGTCTTATCACCGAGGCGTAAGTATTTTTGAGATTTCAGTAACAGGAAGTCAAGTGAGAATGATGTGACCAAACTCATAATATTACACATGAATTATTTGCATTGGTTTACAAAATAGTTCATAGTCTCACCGCGATGCTGTGAAGTGGGCAGGTTTGGTGGTATTAAATGTGTGTATTTTTCCTATTTACAAGATGAAGAAATAAAGGCTCGGAAAGGTTCATTAATTTCTGGAAGGTTTGTTAACTGGGGTTTGCTGAATTTGTACTCTTGATTCTTGGCTCTTCAAAGAATGGAGATTTGGGTCAAAAAATGTTTAATCTATTTTGCCTACTGACTGCCTGATTGCTTACGTACTAAAAATCCTAAAATGTTGTTGGGAGCATTTTTACTGAAGTAATTAAGACAGAAAGCGGCTTTCTGAGGGGTTGCCTCTTCGCTTTCTTAGCGTAACAGAGAAGGAAGAGGTGAGGGGTGAGGGTGCCCCGAGCTGAGAGTGTCCGTCCTTCCCCTCACCGCCCCGCACGGTGGGCGGCGGCGGGGCGGGGGAGTCTCTCCTGCTCAGCTCCTCTCGTATCCCCTCCCCGGCTCTCTGCTGAGTCACTGCAGAGACTCGGCTGCTGGAACCCGTCAATGAATGAGATGAGAAGTATGGGGATCAGGAGTGATGAAATGCGCAGGTGAAAATGTATATGCTTAAGTCCAGGACAGGTAGCGCTTAGAAATGATCATCTAAACCTGATACTTTTTGTCACCTCACCTTTTCAGGAGATAATGGGATGTAGCCTACTACTACTGTGTGTGGGGGGGTGTATATTGTGATATAATGGTCATGTTCCGGGCATTTTTTCTAATCATTTCTTAATCTTTCTACCTTGGAAGGTAGAACGAAATCACTGGGTCTGTTTTATGGATATGCACTTCAGAGGGCGTAAGATAGAACCAAATCACTGGGTCTGTTTTATGGATATGCACTTCAGATGGGGGGAAGAAAAAAAAAAGACCGCCCTGGTGACACCTTAAAAATAGGCAAAAGAGCTGAGATTCTCTGTGGATGTGAAACTACAGGCTCTTATTTTTTGCAAAAAACTCTAAAATAAATATCTTGTGAGTTGGATTAGTTTGTTAGAGATTGTGGCCAGATTACAGGTAATACGGTAGAAGGGTACAGACACAAAGACATTTCCACCAGGGCTTTCACAATTAATTCCCCTTCTTTATAGTTATGTGTTCTTGACAATTCTTATTTTAGTTTTAGACGGTATTTCCATTCTGGCTGTTTTTAAGAGAATTTCCATTATACTGATGGTTCTTTCCCTGGTGGCCATCAGGAATCATAAGCTAGAAACAGAGGGAACTGTTTATAACTCCTGTTTAGCACTTCTTGTCATTGTGGATGAATTGATCTGGACCTTCGAAGTCCTGGGCATGGGACGGTTGGGTGTGCAAATCAGTGCTTTCCTCCCCAAAACAAAAGCAGTTCTCAGATGCTCTGCCCCTCTTTTTGGGGGGATGGGAAGGAAGGGGCATCCTAAGAAATTAAATAAATGGGGGAGCTTCCTCAAGAGTCTGCTAAGAAAAGCAGAAATATAATCTGCTGCCCTGACCTCTCAAGAGATTAGATATTCAGGGTCATGACCAAGCTGCTTACGTTGGAATATACAGGGCACCTGTCTTCTTACTTTCACAGAGTCTTTACCCTGAGCAGTTTCTCAGCACAGATCCAGATAGTAGTAGCAAACTGGGCTTCACTGGAGTCAGAGGGTTGATAAATATTAGAAAATCAAGAGCAGCTCTCTGCTTTAGGACATGTGATGTTCCTACGTATTTTTTTTAAAACAAACATTAGTTAAAAAAAAAATATATATATATATGTAAAACATTTTACCGGCGCGGGGCTGGTGGGTAGATGGTAGAGCTTTTAGAGTAAATATGAAGGGAACCCTCCCTCCCCCCAGGAAGCCTTGATAAAAGGCAATGAAGTTACTTAAGTAATTTATCTTCCTTTTACTTTATATAAAACCTCTACAGCAGGTCTTGGGAAGAGCACAAGGGGAGGGGCTGTGGGGTTGAAGTGGGACGAAGTTGAGGGGGAAGATTACATATGAAAATAGTATATTTTTTTCCTTAAAATTAGAATGATGAGCAAATACGGTGATTGCCATAGCAGGCAGAGTACACTTACATTCTTGGTAAATTTTCTGCCATGGTTGACATGGAGGACAAGGTGGTCCCACATGGTACAGAAATTCCCCACCCTGTTTTACCAGTCTGGGGCTTGTATTAGAATTGTGTACAGTGTCACCCAACTGCTTACCCCGGGTTTCTGATTTTCCTACAGGATGAGGGAGTGGTGGGTCCAGGTGGGGCTGTTGGCTGTGCCCCTGCTTGCAGCCTATCTGCACATCCCGCCCCCCCAGCTTTCCCCTGCTCTTCACTCATGGAAGTCATCAGGCAAATTTTTTACCTACAAGGGACTGCGTATCTTCTACCAAGGTAAGAACAGGGCTCTTGAAACACTCTGCATGTAGAGGTCCCGTGGGTCCCTCTGAGGTACTTATTTTTGTGTCCATTGGTCTCTGTTGCCCCTCAGTGATGGAGGGGAAAACCCTCTTTTTCTGTGTAGTGTCCATTTGAAGGAATGGACTAATTCCCCTCATTAATTTGATAGCAGGGAAACTCAAAGAAAATTGCTGGGAGGGTGAGGGTGGTGGAATGGAGATTCCAATGTCCATAGACTGACTTGTTAGTATAATTTATTTATTTTTTCTGATTTTGACTTTGTTTTTTAATATCTTTACAGGAGTATAATTGCTTTACAGTGTTATGTTAGTTTCTGCTGTATAACAAAGTGAATCAGCTATACATATACATATATCCCTCCCCCCCTCCCTATCCCACCCCTTTAGGTGGTCACAAAGCACCGAGCTGATCTCCCTGTGCTATGCGGCTGCTTCCCACTAGCTATCTATTTTACATTTGGTAGTGTATATGTGACCAGTATAATTTACTTTGTAGCCTGATTTGCAGTGATAGTACTGGCTTTCTTTTGTGAGCGCCCCTAGTGTCAGATAATATAAACAACATCCATAGATACAGCTGCCATTGGTTCTGTTCCCCCATCCCTGATTTCATTTTGTTTCTATAAAGATTATTTGTTATATGTATAACTAAATGTGATTTAAGTCTTATACCTTTGTCTAAGTTAATTTGCTAATAATTATTATGACTATTACCTTATGCTAGGCATTGAATTATGTTTTCAACCTTCATAATTTCATTTAATCTTTACAACAGTACTTGGAGGTAGGTGCTGTTCACCTCATTTTATAGGTAAAGGGAATGAGAAACAAGATTGGAAAAGATTGCTTTTGGGCGGGGGTCAAGAGCAATAACGAAAAATGTTTGTCATAAACCGTTTTTCATTATTGCTCCTGACCTCCTCTCATTCGCTATATTCAACTAAAAGTAAGTATATAATTTTCTTTATGTTGGTCACTTAGGTTGTTTCTAGTTTTCCAATGTTTTAAATAATGTTAAAGGGAAATCTCCGTGTATGTGTTAATTTTTTCCTTATTTTTTCAAATAGTACTACGTGTAAATGAAATGATTTATTTGCATGGATTCTCAAGAATAAGACTCCTAGGCTAAAGTATATACAATTTTTCATTGCTTCTAACTAAATTATTTTTGTAAACCTTATTATCAAATTCTCATGCCAGTGGCAGTATATGAATCTATCACTTTTAATCTAATACTATTTTTTTATTAGCAAGGCTACTTACTGTTTAAATATTTGGCTAATTTAAAAGATGTTTATACATTAAAAAATGTTCATGTTTATGTTGATTAGCCTTTTCTTACAGTTGCTAGAATTTTGCAATAATTGAGCATTATGCTTTTAATATTCAGTTGAGTCTCCTCTGCGGGAAATAAAATTGTTGGACAAATGGCATAAACTGAGGCACTCACTGGGTTGAGGAAGGGAATTTTTGTGAGGCCATTAGTAATAAGGTACAAAGAACTTGTAGTTATTAAGTTGTGACTGTATACTTTTAACTGTGAAGCTTTACTTTTTACTATGGAAAAGCAATTTACATATTAATGATACAGAATAAAGGGAGAAATGAGGAAATACTTCTTAAAAATCTAGGTGAAAGTAAGCAGTCTGCCGTCAAGTATTTTCATATAAAGTGAGCTATTTACGTTTTTAAAAGATTGAAGTATAGTTGATTTACAATATTATATTAGTTCAGGTGTAGAACATTAGTGATTCAGTATTTTAATAGATTATACTCCATTTAAAGTTATAAAATATTGGCTATATTTACCATTTTTAAATATACAGAATAAAAGAAAACAGATATCAAATGCCTATTCTTACGTAAAGCAATAAGCTTGCATTTAAAAAAAAATCTATTATTTTAATTTCACTAATTTGGTCAGGGTTTCTTGTCCTTTATACCAGATTATTTAGATTTTTTCATATCTTCAAGGTTATTTTCTTAGGGCGTCGGCCTAACTGCTCTCTCTCTTCCCAGACTCTGTGGGTGTGGTTGGAAGTCCAGAGATAGTTGTGCTTTTACACGGCTTTCCAACATCCAGCTATGACTGGTACAAGGTAAGGAAATCAGACTTCTGGGTCCTACTATGCCTTTAAAAATCCAAAATCGAGGATTTTGTTGTCATCACTGGAAGACTTGCATATTTGAGTTGCTTAATAAGATTAAATGTAGAACTGTTGCTCATTTACTGTAAGGGAGTAAAAAAGTCTTTGGCAATCTGGGAGGGGTCATTGCCAAGTTAAAAAATGCTGGAGTTCCTCCCGCAATGGAGATTAATTATAAGGAATAAAGCACTTTCCAGGAGGATCATTTGTGGGCCTGTGGTGGTTTCATGAGATTTTCCCTTTATCGAAGTCTGTTTATTAAGCTGAGATAGGGATGAAACTCCTTTGCTGCTGTAGGTTGGAGAAGAGGAGGGGCAGGATTAGAAAGACCAAACCATCCCTTTCCTTCTTGTAGATTTGGGAAGGTCTGACCCTCAGGTTTCATCGAGTGATTGCCCTTGATTTCCTAGGCTTTGGCTTCAGTGACAAACCGGTAAGCAGCATCTAGATGGGGTGGGATTGGGGTAGGCAAGGATGGCAAGGGGTCAGGCTGGCAGACACACCTGCACCCTTGACTTCACCCTGTGTATCTGGGCTCTCCTTTCCCTAGAGACCACATCACTATTCCATATTCGAGCAGGCCAGCATCGTGGAAGCTCTTTTGCGGCATCTGGGGCTCCAGAACCGTAGGATCAACCTGTTGTCTCACGACTATGGGGATATTGTTGCTCAGGAGCTGCTCTATAGGTCAGTGAAGCCATGACTTGTGTACGATTCACGTTTCACTTGTTTAAGATGAGAGAAGTGCATTGTTCTGGGTTCTTTCTGGCCCTTTTCCCTCTTGGGAGTTGGTCTTCAGCTGCTCAGTAAGCTATGTGTTTCCCTCCCCATCTCTAGGTTCAAGCAGAATCGATCTGGTCGGCTTACAATCAAGAGTCTCTGTCTGTCGAATGGAGGTAACTGCCTTGGAGGCGGGTGGAAAGTGAGGTGTAGCCTAGAGGGCCACATTCAGATATGGCAGTGATGTCTAAATGGTAACCTGATGGTACTGCAAACAGACCCAAGCAAAGTAGTGGATCTTTACTTCTTTCGTGCCATGAACCACTTTGTGGCCTGATGAGATTTACTGACGCTTTCTCAGAGTAATATTTTTAAATATAGAAAATAAAGTAAGATTACAAAGGAAACTGATTATCTTGACATGTTAATAAAAAGCTGTGTTATAGTAAGATGTGCTTTTTAAAATATATTTAATGCATTTTCCAGCAAGATCTTGTGGTGTGTCTGATAACAACTGTGACTAGAAGTAGTGGGGAGTGCAGATGATATTTCGCAATCTCTGCAGCAACTGCAGTGGGTTCTGCAGACATTTGAGATGAAGCCACAGGTGCTTCTACTACTACTGTGGTTTGTGTCATAAACTCTCAATTCACAGCAGTGCCAAGTTTCAGTTGGAAATTAGTGAGCCCTTGATTAGACCTTTTGGAGATGTTGCTTGTTCTTTGCCTGCCATTGAGCCTGGCTTGTTAAATCCATGAATATCCAGGTGTCCCCGAATACCTTAGAATACCTTAAGGGCAGATTGGGAGAGGAGTCTGTTTGTCCCTTTATCATTAATGCTCATGCCTTTCTCCCACTGACTCTGGAAAAAAATGGAAACGGAAAAGCTCTAGGTGTTTTGAAGGATCTACACTTCTGAAAAATCTCTGGTTTCCTTTGCAGCCCGAACAGTTAACAACATTATGTATTCTGAGGAATGGGTGGAAATGCTAAGGGGAGCCAGGGTCTAGTTGTCCGCAGTGTGGATGACCATGACATATTTTTCCCTGCTCTCTACAGTGGGGAAAAGTAGAGAAAGTGATCCCAGTGGGATAGAGTTTGACCTGGTAAACACAGAATTCCCTGGAGAAATAATAAATGACAGTACTAAGTTTTTATTTGTAGTTTGGTTTTTGGCAGTAAAAGCCCTCAACGTGACTAATAGGGTGAGTTGTCTCCGATAATGCCTATGTTTGGCCTAAGATTGTTGGTAAATAACTACCCTAGGTCTCTTCTCCTACAGGTATATTTCCTGAGACCCACCGTCCTCTCCTCCTCCAAAAGGTTGGTTACTCCACTGACTAGATCTTTAGTTTTTAAGGTTTATACTGATATAAATAATGCTGGTGTCTTTATAACGGCCATACTTGCTCTCATGGGCTGTAGTTAAAATCTGTTTCATCATGAACTCATGTTAATGAAGTTATTTTTCTCCTTAATAAAGGAAAAATAAAGCAGTAGAAGTGAACCCTAGATAAATAAAGGCTTATTTCTGAAAATGAGAGCAACAGATATTTGGAGAAGTACAGCTGTCTGAAGAGTGGTGTCGTTAGCATGATGTCTGAACAAACTGGGATCCTAGTCTACAGTTGAATATATCAGTTAAAAGTCTTCGGGATTTAGGGAAGTGTAGAGTGTAACCTTAGAGGGAATTAGAAATAGGTTTGTTTTCTATGGGAGAAGAACGTGGGTAAGCAAAACAAGAAACTAAAAGCCAGTAGATTTGGCTGAAGTCCTTTTTAGTTCCTAGTATAAAACCTTTTATCCTGGACAGGTTTCTTTCTTTGGACTCTTGATTTTTACTTTTACACCTACAGCTTCTCAAAGATGGAGGCGTGCTGTCGCCCATCCTCACGCGACTGATGAACTTCTTCGTATTCTCCCGAGGGTAAGTCATTGTCAAACACTGATGCACTTCAGCATGGGAGCAATGTAGTGAAAAGCTGCTGCCATTAAAGTTCTGGGCCAAATCTTAGGGTTTGACCCTTTAAAGTAAAGGTGTTGACCACTGCCAGGCAAGTAGTAGAAGGAATTCATAGACCAGTCAAGGGTCAGACATACATGACCTGAGGCTCCAATCATACTTGATGTACTGAGTTCTTCTCACACTTACCTTTCTGCTTTTTTGGACTCGTTCAGTCTCACCCCAGTCTTTGGGCCATACACCCGACCCTCTGAGAGTGAACTGTGGGACATGTGGGCAGGGATACGCAACAATGACGGGAACTTGGTTATTGACAGGTAAGAAATAACCCTTTGCTTTGGTTTCCGGAGACACTTCTTTTGGGAAGTGGGGAAAGATGTGGGATTGTGTGTTCTGTTCCTTGCTTTCATAACCACAAGAAGAGTGGTTATGACCTATGAGGCAAACAAAAAAGTCATGCTCTGTACTTTCTAAGAAGAAAGAAATTGAGAATAGAGTGAGCTCTGAGCCTAAGCCATTTGGCACCATAAGTTTGGATAAACAGCTGCAAATTCTAATGCTAATTTAGTCTGTAACTGACTGACTGGCAAATCGTCTTTGGACCTTTTGTCAATAGTAACTGTTTCAAAATGTCTAATCATAATTCTGAAAGGTGCTTAATGCCTCTCTCAAAGTACAGATTGTTTCCTTTTTCATATCTTTTCTATAGCAACAGGGACTGAGAAGGGAGGTTTCTCTGTCTTGTACAAAGAATCCCCATGCCTTGGTTCAAATGAGAATGTAGCCACTTTCGCAGAGGGACCTAGAGATAGTGTATCCAGAACTACTTGGGGTAAGGCCCTGTCTCTTTGCCAGCTGGGTCAGTGTAGCTTCCAGTGTGTTAACTGGTGGCTGTGCTGGGAACTGTGAGGTCAAGGGAGCCATTCCTCCCTAACCCCCATGGGACCCTTGAAGAGTCATTTTAATATAAAAAACTGAAAAAGCCCTCTTGTAAAATTCCCTTGTGCTTTCAAGAAACTAAATACCATTTCTAAGAGGTGATATTTGAAGTTCACAAAAATAATTGTCCTGGAGTTGGCAGGCAGAATAATTAGAATACATGAGTTTGAGTTCGAAAATGTAGCTATGACATCTTACACTGTAGGATGAGGACTCTGCCTCCATTTTATCTGTGGTCAGATGAAATGCAGAGGTTGAAGCTTTGTGCTCATGAGCTTCTACAGAGAATTTTAGAAGTAGATGCCAATTTAGAGATCATGTACTTCAGTCTCTTAAAGATGAGGAAAGATGTGTGTGTTACCAACAGCTTTTGAGTCACAGAGCTTGTTAGTGGTGAAGCCAAAATCAGAACTCTAGACCCAGACTTTAGTCACATGTAATCCAAAGTAACTTCCAGCCTTCCTAGATTTCATTCCCTGCTTAATAAACACAAAGAACCATTAATTCTAACATCGACAGTAGGCATGATCACTGCCATAGCTACATAGTGGTTAACTCTAGAGGTTAACAGAAACGGGTAAATTAAGTGGGCCATTCCCAGGAATGC